GGAAGGGGTTGGGGGGCGGGAGGTGGGGGGCACGGTGATGGTGGGGAAGGGGTCGTAGCAGGGCAGGGACCCCCGCTGCCAGGCCTTGGGGTGACCCTCGCTGTGCCCCCCCCACCCCCATTTTGAAGCCCTGAAGGTGCCGTGGGGAGGGGACGGGGGCTCGGGGACCACAACGGGGCTGGAGGCAGCATCTTCTCCTGCATCCCTGGGGCCGGGGCTTGCCCACCTGCCCTCCATCAGGCTGGCGTGGGGTCTGCATGAAGCACCAGGGGAGAATCCAGGCATGGGCCTGGTGACCTTTGAGATCTGACCTCTTAGATCTTGCTCTACAGCTTCGGGATCCAGCCTTCAGGGAAGGAAAACCCCATCCCGAGTGGCTCAGCCCGTCCTGCCCGGCTGCAGAGCGAGCCCAGCGCCGTGGAGCCACCCCTCGTGCCCACTGAGATGCTTCGTGGGCTCTCAACAAGCAGTTGGTGCCCGTGTGGTCCCCTCCCAAGATGAAACACCAAGTGGCATCACCTCTGGATGAGTTTTTGGAAGTCCTGGCTTGTGATTTCAGCACGGCCAGGCTGCCCATCGTGGTTTTCGGGCACACGTGTCCCTGCTCCCTCTCCTGGGTGGCACTTACACCCACCAACAGCTTGTGGGGCCCTGGGGATGTTCTCCCCTGAGCTCCAAACATCGACCATCCAGCCGGTTGGACCCAGCAGGGGGGTGGATTTCGGAGCTGTGGGGAAGGAGCTCTCCTCTTCGGAGCTACCCTGGAGGAGATGACTGACAAAGTCATGAACGGGAGGGTTCCTCTGCCCGAAAAAGCCCTGTCGGAGGGCTATGCCCGGCTGCGGTACCGGGACACCTCCCTGCTCATCTGGCAGCAGCAGCAGCAGAAGCTGGAGTCAGCCCCCCCCAACACCTACCTGAGCCGGAGCCGCAGCATGTGGTACTCCCAGTACGGCAACGAGGCCATCCTGGTGAGGGACAAAAACAAGCTGGACGTCTCCAGGGACACGGGGCAATCCAAGTTTTGTGCTATTATGTAGTTTTTCCGCTGGTTTCCCCTTAGAAATCCGCAAGTGGGGGGACAAACCAGACTGGCTTCAAACCGGGGGGAAGGTGGGTTCGCACCGTCCTCCCCGACAGCCCTGCGGCTAAAGCGGCGTGGACGGGGTGGCCCGGGAAGGCTGCCTCAAGTTTGTGTTTGTTTTCATTTTGGTAGCATCCTGTTTTGCATGTTATGGAATGTGTGTGATGAAAACAGCCCGGCCGGGGAACTCCCCGAGCCTCGGTTCGCTGCCTGGCATCTTGGCAGGGCTGCGTGCGGGGCCGTGTGTTGCTTGGAAATGGCTTGTGCACCATAAGAAACACCCACTGGCGTCGGGGAGCCCCGGGGGGCACTTGTGTTGCCAGTTTTCAGGCCTTGCCAAAGCCCCGTGGATGCTGCTGGGGGGGGAGAGAGGGGCCAGCGCAGACCCGCTTCCATCCAGGCAAAGATCTTAAGAAGGTGATCTGCCAAACCATCCGGCTGTTACTTGTTCTGCTGTTCAATTACTGCCCTGGAAGTGGTTTCATACAACCAGGAGATGAAGTGATTTATCACGGGGGGGACAGAACACACTGAGAATTTCATCTGAGCCTTTGGAACAGCCGTTGGGAAAGGCACAGCGTGGGTTTGTCCCGGGCAAAGCAAAGGGCCCTCTCTGATGCCATGGTTTGGTGTCACAGGAATAACAGAGGGGACTTCTCTGGAGTCGTGGAGCTGATTCCCTTCCCAAAGCTCCATCCCCAGCCCGGGCTCTGGGGATGGATCACAAGGGAACCACCTGAAAGGGAGGGATGGGCCCAGGAGAGCAACAGGAAGAAATGACTGTAAATACACCCGTCTCCTGCTGCGGGAGGTGAGGGGACTCCTGGGCAGCAGGAACCTGCCCCCGGAGAGCAGAGCCCACCCGTGTTTGCTTCACATCTCCGTTTCGATGCACACAGCAGCTCAGAAGGGTTTCCCTTCTGCTTCGGGTTGGAGAGTAGATTTGGTGCCTGTATTTTAAAAGTCATGTCTGGGAGCGTTTGTTTCACCAAACTGAAGGGGTTTAGGAAGGAAAAAAATCCTATAATTGCACTTTTGGGGAGTAGGAACCGCTTTCAGGGTGTTCCCCAACTTGATCAAGGCGAGACCAAGCTGAGAAACCCAACCCAGGCAGCACCTAAACCTTTATTAAAAGCAGAGCGGAGCCACTTCCAGGGGCACTAATGACGTGCCCAGGGTTCAGCATTGAAGTGTGACGTTTCTGTGCTGCCCAGGAGCCCTCCTGCAACCCCCTGTGCCCCATCCAGCACCACCTGGGCACGGGCTCAGCTTCAAGCAAATCAGTATTTGATGTTGACGTCGGTACGGATTATTTTACCTGCCTAAAATTAGGCACATCCATCACTTATTTATCTAAAGCCTCTTGTTCCTTTATCAAGCACTTTATTATTTTTTTTTAATACCGTGAAGAATCACCTTCTCCACCTCTCCCGTGTGGGTTGAACGCTACAAGACACACACTGGAGTTTGCTGAACTCCACGTGCTGAGCAGAAGGTGCCTGTTTTAAGGTGAGATGGTGGAGGTTTGATGCCCTGGGCCCTGACCCGCATACGCACTGCAAACCACAGGCAGCTCTTTTGGGTTTTTTTGTGGGTTTTTCGTGAGTTTTTCTTTTTTTTTTATAGCACTATTTATGCATGTGTTGATGTTTGGTACCTGATGTGTGTGCTCGTAAAATTAAACCCGCTGACGGAGCTCGGTGTTTCGCAGCCCCTGCGCGTTGACTCTGCGCCCTCGTGGTCCTCTTCATCTCACCAGGATTAGCTCTGGGGGAGGGGGGAGATATTTGGGTGAATAAAATGGTTTTTTCAACTGGGGAAAAAGCAGAGGTTCACAAAATGAGATGGACAAAACCAGCAGGACTCTGGAAAGCTACCGCAGCCGTGGCGGTGCCTGGTGTTGAGGTGGAGCATCACCTGGGATGTGGGACCTTCCAGGGCTCCGGTTCCTGGCCCAGCAAAGAGGGGATGATCCATGGAAAGGGGCAGGAGACTGCTCTGAGCACACCCCTGGAAACTGCAGGTGGAATCGACCCCAAGAGGCAGGAGAGGGGGGCCCAGGACCTTTCCAGCAGCCCAGGGGAAGCGCACGAACTCTGGGAGTTTAAGGAACAGCATGTCCCCAAAACCAGCTGTTCGTTTTCTTTACTTTTCTTATAGAAAAAAAACAAGAAACCAAGTAGATTTTTATTTCGGTGAGAAAGTTGATTATTTTGGGTTATAATCAGTCTCTTTTTGTTGATGTGGCTGGTAAACCGAAATTCTGAAGAGTATGAATTGGACTATACAACTATAAAAAGTAATTGCATAAATTATTCCAGGCTGGAGCTGTGACGGCGCAGGAAGAGCGTGACCCGTTCTTCCATCTCTCTGTGAACGTGACTCTATAATTTTCCGTGTGTGTGTGTCCTCGTGAGTCACAGCAGGTTGGGGAGCGGCTGCTGCGAGTGTTTCCCTCAGCCCCTCGTGTTGTGTTGATGCACTTGTTTCAAACGCTGGTGTAGCCTCTTGGATAAAAAGGGCATTAAAATGATTTGAACCCATCCTCACAAGCAGCTGGTTTTCTTCTTTTGGATTACAGCTGTATCCCTCCCCATCCCGGGGAAGAGAGAAGCCTCAGCAGATGGGGGTTCACTCCCCACTGGGAATTACTGGTGGGCCAAGGGTACCCTCCCTCTCCAGAGTCACACCATGTCACCTCTGGACTGGCCTCGTGCAGAGAAGGCTTCTCCAGGTTCCTGACAGCCCTTGTCGAGGCTTAGTGGTGACCCCAGGATGAGGAGAAGGTCTGGATGTCACAATAACCTCTATGGAAACCAGTTGAGCCCAATCTCAACTGTGTTCTGCTTGTCCTCAGCCTCCTCCCAGCCCAAAAGGAGCAGCACTGCCAGATGCACCAACAAATAATTAATAAATGCTAAAAAAAAACATCTTCCTGGGAGGGAAGGGCCTCACAGAAGATTTTTAAGGGACAGGCTGAACAAACATTTCCTTTAGGCTCCTCCAGGTTCCTGACAGCCCTTGTCGAGGCTTAGTGGTGACCCCAGGATGAGGAGAAGGTCTGGATGTCACAATAACCTCTATGGAAACCAGTTGAGCCCAATCTCAACTGTGTTCTGCTTGTCCTCAGCCTCCTCCCAGCCCAAAAGGAGCAGCACTGCCAGATGCACCAACAAATAATTAATAAATGCTAAAAAAAAACATCTTCCTGGGAGGGAAGGGCCTCACAGAAGATTTTTAAGGGACAGGCTGAACAAACATTTCCTTTGGGGGTCTCACTGGGACAACACACAGCCCCAGATCCAACAGCAAAGCCAAAAAGGTTTGCTGAAACCTTAGGAGATTGTGGTTTTAAACCCAGTGAGAAGGAACGGGGTTAGAGAAAGATTAACCCCGGGGAAGCCTGGCTGCTGTAACCCCTACCTCATAAATAACCCCTCAGCACGCACCCAAGAAACCCAACAGCAAAACCAACCTGAACCCTCTCCAGGGACCAGAATAGATTCTGGCCACCACACAACAACGTGAAGGCCCTGCTGGGAAGGTGACACCAGCCACTCTGGGCCACCCTTTTTCCAGTCCACCTGCCACATCCCACCCAACGCTGGTGAGAAATCCCTTCTGGTTCCTTCAGGTCTCAGTGGCTTGAAAGCAGTCAGCATTAAACCTGGGGGAAATGTCCATCTCCTTGTGGTTTTAAACCCAGTGAGAAGGAACGGGGTTAGAGAAAGATTAACCCCGGGGAAGCCTGGCTGCTGTAACCCCTACCTCATAAATAACCCATCAACACACACCCGAGAAACCCAACAGCAAAACCAACCTGAACCCTCTCCAGGGACCAGAATAGATTCTGGCCACCACACAACAACGTGAAGGCCCTGCTGGGAAGGTGACACCAGCCACTCTGGGCCACCCCTTTTCCAGTCCACCTGCCACATCCCACCCAACGCTGCTGAGAAATTCCTTCAGATCTCGGTGGCTTGAAAGCAGTCGGCATTAAACCTGGGGGAAATGTCCATCTCCTCTTTTTCAGCTGAACTTCCCTCAGTTGGGTGCAATTTTCACATAAACTGAGACCCCTTCAGATCGTAGGCCGAGACCCCAGGCCAAGCTGGCAGTGCCCCAGACTTGCCCTCTGCTCCCCAGGCACCTCACCCCCTTAGCACCCACAGCTGGACTTGCACAATTAAATCCAAATTATTTCAATACTCATGGCAGGAGGACTCCTCCTGTATTTACACCTGTCTCTCAGCAATGCTCCTCAACCGCCTGCTCCATCAAAGCCCTACGGGGTTTCAACTGGAGCGAGTGCAACACCTGGAAAAGGAGATGAGGAAAGGGAAAGGGAGGGAAGAGGGGGGAAAATACAGGATCAAACTGCACGCACAAAACAATTTTTCTTTTTATTATGAAAACAAAACAAATGCCCCAGGACCAGGGTCCATGATTACCAGTAACATCAAAGATTACTTTCTAACTCTTTTTTAATTCTGTTGTGTTTGAGGCCAGCAATTTGCAATAAACAAGCTAAACTACTTACATTGACTCATTTCTTTTCAGTAACTGACATTTACAGGAATATACTAGAAATGGCACTAAAAAGTTTTAAGAAAGAGAGTTACGGTAAATTTGCATGCACATCATACAGAAAAGTAACTTTTTTTTAAATATTAAAAAAAATCCAAAACAAAACAAAAATACAACAACAAATATGTCTGGATTGGTTATGCCAGTATCAGGGGTAAGTTCTAAGTGGCCTGTGTCAAATCCTAGCTGGTGACTTATTTATTTTTTAAAAAGGACATTTAAAAAGATATGCAAATACCATTTCTTTTAAAAAAATGCATCTCGTTGTTTTACAAGCAAGATAATGCTTCTAGTGTAATGAATCCTCGCCCTAAAATTTATCTTCAACAACGCAGAGCCTGCCCACAGTTAGCCCTAGTGGTAACTGCTCATGACTGAGAATATGTCTTTTTAAAATCCAGTACTAAAAAAGTTGTGGTTTTTCTTTGTCCCAACCCCTTCCCTTCCCCCCAGCTCCAACCCCGACTTTAAAAAACATCATTCCTTTCAAAATAAGGAAAAAAAAAAAAATAATTAAAAACTGGTCTAAGAGTCCCCAAAAAGAGAGAAAGAACTAGATTAGGTAACTGCAGTCTGCTTCTACCACACAGAGAACATGGGGTAACTAACGTGTGTATGTACACGCACACACGTGTCTGTGGGTGTGCACCTGTCTCAGACACACACTCACAACCAACAGCGACACAGTCCTGAAATATCAGTTTTCTACAGTTACAAACCCTGTCGGTAGGAAAAGTTTGCCATCACCATCGCTACAAGGCTGGGAGAGGGTTTTGCACAGATGTTTTTGAGCAGAGAAGTGCCGTAGGCATCATGTTCCCTTCAGGAGACAGATCCCAGCCTGAGCCCACGGGATGGGGGTCTCCCTCTGGCCCCACTGAGCCTACACCTGATGCTACTGCCAAGGAACAGGCTGATCTCACCATCAGACAAAAGGTTAACAAAGGTTTTAAAGGTGCAGTAAATGCTGGTTGAGCGATAATAGGTCTGGTCAGATATTTTGTCAAAAGAGGAACTGCTCAGGAAAAAAAACAAGTTTCAGTAAAACTATTTGTGTGCACGTATACATATGAAATCATACCGATTTCAGTGACGTTTCCCCTGGAAAACAAAGTTAAACTTTGTTCGTTCAAGAAAAATTCTACCATAAAAACTTCAATCTTTTTTTTTTTATTCTTAAGTTTAAAAATGTTATTTCAAATGTTCTAGGTTCAATCGTAAAGTTATTTCATGACATCTGTACTGACATGTCACACAAACTCAAATAAATGCTCTATTGTTTCAGTTTCCAACTCATTAAGGGCTGCTGCTACTTACTATGGACTGAAAACATCTCTTCTTTCCTGGAGACACTCTGATCTGGAGATAACAAGAGGCACCACTACTGACATGGCGGGAGATAGTGAACACTACAAACAACACGAAAATGAAAAAGTGTAAGAACATTTTGAAATGAAGAGTCACCGATTTCTTTCCTGCAAGGCTCATGCCAAAAGGGATTTCTCCTGTGAACGGCCATTTCCATGAAAACAAGAAGTTTCCCACTGAGTGGTAGCCCAGGTCGCAGTTGAGTGTATCAAAGACAAGCAGGTGGTTCTTCGTATTCCTTGCTGGTTTTGGTTGCTTGTTTTCCTTGCAAATCCCCAAGCCAGGGACAGGTTTAGCCCACTAAAACAGGGCTCCTCCTCCAGCGCTGCAGACAGTCTCAGGCCAGGCCCCTTTCCATCCCTTGGTCCCCAACCCTTTGGCTCTAACCCCTCCGCTGATTTTGGTGGGACAGACCTGTATGTCCTAGAGGAACGTCTGTACCCTGGGCCACGCTCCACGGGGTTGTCCCTGATGTTGGAGGACGGTGGTGCAGTGCAGAGCCAGGTCCTGGGCTTTGCCTGGTGCTGATGCTGTGATGGTGGCCACCAGGCAGGTGTCTATGGCCTCCAACACAACTGCAGTTTGTTCTCCACAGGAGCAACCACCACGTCCCATCAACGGCACGGCTCCGGTTAACGCACGGGGAAAAAGGTTTCAAGCAGGGAAAACTGGGAGCTGGTTTATCCAAGTTGGCATGCTACTGAATCAGTTCAAATTATTTTAATTAAAACACTAGCTGGTTTTGATAATGCAAGTCTCAGACAATAGGAGAAACACAGATGGAACCCAACCCCGTTTAAAAAAGAAAAACAACAACCAACCTAAGCTCTTAATTAGGTGTATATTACATTTCCTCATAGTAAAGTCTGCAAATATATTACTAAGGACCTGTCTAAGTGAAGATTTCTTTAAGGGCAGAATTAAACACATGAACTAAAAATAACTCCATTGTTAATGGAAAAGAAAAATCATCACTTTCAGTAAGAATCACCCTAGTTCATCCACTTTGAAATACTACAGGAAGCTACCTGCAGAGACTGGAGAGCTTCCTGCCAACCGGCCAAGCACCCTGGGCATTGCAAAACCAGCCAAGGATGCCCAGCAACTCACAGGAGGAACTCGGTGCCTCACAACAACACAGCATCGCGCTCTCAGCCCTCTGATTAAAAAAAAGGGAGTTCTTTTCTACAGCAAACTGTGGATAGAGGGTTATTGTCACTACACAGATAGACACAGACAGAGGTATGTCAGCCCTATGAGCACGGCTGAGCGCTCTGAAATGCTGAGCTTTGAGAGAGAGATCTTTAAAGATAGATGCATGTTTAGCTAATTAAATAAAACCTCAGTGGATGGGCAATAAGTGACCAGCAGCTGAGTGTGGATGCAGTTACAAGTGCAAACCATGGAGTGCTAATCACGGGCTGTCCCTGGGCTCACCCAGCAAAAGGACATCACCCCCAGACACCGCGCGTCCCAGCTCCTGAAGGCTGAGCCAAAACCCTGTGCTGGGGCTGAGGAGTCTTCCAGGGCCACAAACCTACATGAAAAATAAACGCTGGTGCAATCCGCACCGCGCAGCCTCTGGCAAACCACTGTTAGAGACCACAGCAGGGTGAATTTTAGGGCTGCCCCACAGCAGAGGGGCAGCCTTAGGGGCTGGTCTGGGAGAAGGAAAGGCATAACTTTCTGTTAAACTCTGTATATTTTTTTTTCTTTACAATAAAAAGTTAAGAATTTACAATAAATTTCTGCCCCTTGGATTACAAATTTTATATAATTATAGAACTGGTGTTTTCCTAAAACTGGATTATAAAAGAAAAAAGCCACTGTTCTACAACAAAAAAAAAAAGGTGAAAAAGACCTCTGGAAATATTACAGAGATGATAATAATAATGTGCTGCATCAAGGAATTATATTTATCTGTATGTCTCCAAAATCTGTACAAAACAGGAAAAAAGGGGGCTGGGGTGAAAAGATGAAGAAGAGAGAAAATAAAAAATGAACACACCGAACGTGACAGAGCACCAGACACACGACAAACTGGACTGTAGCACCTGTAGGTATAAAGTCCATGGGATTTAAATAAAGTCTCAATTTTTTATTTGCTCTTTTGTTGTTGGTTTTGTTGTTTTTGTTGTGAAAAACAAAAAAAAAAAAGGTGAAAAAGACCTCTGGAAATATTACAGAGATGATAATAATAATGTGCTGCATCAAGGAATTATATTTATCTGTATGTCTCCAAAATCTGTACAAAACAGGAAAAAAGGGGGCTGGGGTGAAAAGATGAAGAAGAGAGAAAATAAAAAATGAACACACCGAACGTGACAGAGCACCAGACACACGACAAACTGGACTGTAGCACCTGTAGGTATAAAGTCCATGGGATTTAAATAAAGTCTCAATTTTTTATTTGCTCTTTTGTTGTTGGTTTTGTTGTTTTTGTTGTTTTTTTTTTAATCTGGTTCAAACCACATTAGAAGTCTGCACTTCTGCTGGTCTACATAATGCAGCTTGGCTTTTGTTATTTTTTTTAGTAAGTTTTAAATGACCAATGGTGTTTAATAAATAAAGTATTTGTATATACACAAAATTAGGGACAGTGAAAACAGAGCATATTGCAGCAGTGCAGGTCAAAACATTAGGCTGGACTCAAAAAACTTGTAAGCCTTAAAAAAACGTCTTTTTTTTTTCTCCCTCCCCTCTTTTTTCTTTTTATTGAGGTAAGCATTTCAGCGTCTGCAACCCTGCACCCTGCAGGACACAGAAGTAGAATCCCCTTCTAGGAGTTCACTACTGAAATGATAAATGAGGGGGGAAAAAGAAAAAAACAACAACCCCAAACACACACAACATCCCTCCCCAGATCCGCTGCCAGCTCAGCCTCAGCTGGAGCTCGAGTGCTCCTTTATTTTAAGCCCAGACAGAGGTGCTTGTCATGGAGAAAGCACTTAAGCAAGTGTCTAATAACGAGCACATGACATGCCTTGGTCACTCTGCAGGGATCACTCCCAGGCCCGGCTGAGAACTTCCAGCCAAAAAACTGGTTTTCAATTAAATGAAAAAAATTTCATAGAGAGCGTCAATTTCCTGGAAATTATCTATTTGATGTTAAAAAATAACATTCCCAAGAAACTTGAGTGTCCCTTGCTCCCGCCTTCCCAATGCGTCCCCCGAGAAAAATGAAAAATTTTGAGTGGAAAAACAAGAAATGCAACCACTTCTATTGCTCATGTGCCTAAAGTTAAGTTCATGCTTAAATACCTTCCTGAACAGGTGCCTATGCCTCTACCAAGATTTAAAAAAAAAAAGCATGTTAGCAATCCACAGTACATGAGAATTTTTTTGGGTTTTTTTTTGTTTTTATGTAAAAAGATGATAGCATCTGGCATTTTCATCACACTGTAGACTTCGAGATTAAGAATACTAGTGCTAATAACAAATACACCAACTAGTTCAAAAGCTAACATCTTTCAGATACAGTACCATTTTACAGAGTTTTCTTTAAAAAAAGATTATTTTTTTTTACCTTGTGTGAGCCAGGCAGGCTTATTAAAAGAGAACATTTTGGGGAGAGGGAAGGGGTGGGAGGGAAACGTACTACAAACCTTGCAGAACTTTCTATTTATCTCCTGCTAAGAGTTCGAAGTTCTTCCATTTTCAACCAATCTTCTTCAGTTAAAATGTATTTTAGAGACTTTATGCAAAGGGAACTGTTTTGTCATAAAGTCTTGTCACACGCACGCACACGCAAAGATCTTTGACCTATTAAAAGAGCGACCCCCAAAAAAAATGGAAGATACCTTTTTATAACACTGAATTAAAAAATAAAATAAAAAAAAAAAGTCAGAGAAAGAGAAAGGGGAAAAAAAAAAAAACCTGACCACCGTGGAACAAGAGCAGTATATTAAGAAGAAAAAGGAACACTGCAGAGCATCGGTGAGGGTGATGTCCATTTTGTGTGTGTAAGTGTCCGTAAGTCATTCCGAGTCGCTGCTGTCCGAGCTGGAGCCGCTGGAGCTGCTGCTCCCGGACTCGGAGGAGCTGCTGCTGCTGAGGCGGGAAGGGCCTCCGGAGGGAGCGGAGCCGGATTTCTCTGTGGGGAAGAAGGGAACAATGAATGGGGTTACCTACAAGGAACTGAACTAGGGAAGGTTGGCCCACAGCCTCCATCCATGGCTTCCTCCACAGCTTCCTCTTGCCTGGGCACCTTTATTTTCCCCCCCAGCCTTTGCCCGCTGCAACAACTGTCCTGTCAGTGGACAACAAGGTGAAAGTTTGGGATCTGCACAGGAGCCATGCCAGAGGTCCATGTCTTCTGCAGCCCTGAAGTGAGATGCTGCAGAGCACCTGGGAAGCCGTGTCCCCAGCCTCCCAGGCTTCAGTGCAACCTCTGAACCAGCCTGACTTGTGCAAAGCTGGAAGAAGCTTAGTTTGCGCTCTGGAAGAACCTTTTGTACCATCTTCCACACTATTGCACTATCTGGGGGCTTGGGCTTTTTTTAATCCCACAAAGGACAAAAATGATGTGTTAGATGCTCCACAGTACTGGCCAGACTAATGTAGAGAAGATGATCCTCCTCCCTCGGAGGGATGAACTCCCTCCAAGACACCTCACATTTACCACCCAGGAGAGCTTCCACCTTGACCTTCCAAAGCAGCCTGCCCACAGTAGCCCAGTGCCCACCAGCAACTCGCTGTGCCCCAACACCAGTGACCAACTGCAGTATTTGTCACAGAGAAAACCCAAGGCAGGTTCTTCTACTGCACAAGGAGGCAGTAGTTTTACCTCACTGAAGAAGTTCATCTACAAACACAACCCTTTGAGCATTGTTAGCACAGTAAGACCAAAGCCATTACCTTTCTTTGCAGGTTTCTTGTTGTTGTTTAGCTGCCCACTGACGTCCTGTAACCGTTTTTCTAGTTCTTTCTTCTTTTCCTGAGCTAACTCTTCTTTTGACTTTGCTGCTTGCTTTTTTCCACCTGCAGCTGGGGAGGAGGAACGTACAATTTCTGAAACTGCACGGATGCAGGCAAAAAAGAGCGGACATCGCTATTTTACAGGGCATGTAAATCTGTGCAACCACTCTGCAGTGAAGCTGCTAAGATCAAGTGACCACAAAGCAACTACACATCCCAGATAGAGGACAACACATGAAGTTGTCTCAATCATCCAGTTGCCATCATCCTGTAACATGCACTTCTCTAAAGAGAGACCTTCTGGAAAGTATTTCAGAAGATAGAAATGCCCGTGTAATAACCTTGTAGTTCCAGGTTACTTACCAGCCAGTTATACGCTCAATAGTTACACATTTGTAATTACAGAATTGTTACATGGCTTTTCTGCCCTGTAAAATAAAGTGTCCCATTAAAGGTTGTCAAAAGGAAGCATCTGCCTTTATAACTCCTCATGCAGAATCTACTCTGGTTTATGTTGCTTTAAATATAAAATAAAAGGGACAAATTAAAAACCAACAGAGGCAAAGGCTGGCAGACAACAGGAATGTACCTGCATCCGTTCGGATGGAAACAGTGAGAAGTACCAGCAACGCCCAAACTTCTGAGCAGAAGGACTATCCCTCTGAAGGAGGGGTAATTGAACACAGGTGTTGGCCAGTATCAGGAGCACAAGGCAGGGGCCAGACATTTTGTCTGATCCAGCAAGGAAATACCTACATGTCTGTGTGCTGGTTTAAAGCAATGATTTTACATTAAAAAAAAATAATAATCTGGAAAGCACACTCCTAAGAGGGTGTGCCCCTGAAAACTAAGCATTGCAATGAGAGCAGGCAGCAGGAAGGTGCAGCTGGGGTCAGGCACACCAGTCTGCCAGCCCAGTGTGTACCAGTCTCAGAAGAGCAGACGGACAGACATCTGAGATTATCTGCAGTACTCTATGCTTCGGTTCCAAAAAAAAAAATAATAATGCTTCATGTTCTTAACCACTCTGGAAAATCTTTTCCTGAGCTA